ATTCGTACACCGTGGTTCGAGAAAAGATAGATGCAAATAATTCTCCTGAACCTAAAAATTCCTAAAGAAAAATTCGGTGAGGAAGTTGGCGCGTCGACTTGTAGTGGCGACACCATGAGACCGTCAGTAATTATGATATCCGGAGAAGAGTTTCATTTGATGAAATGCCGTAATAATGAACTTAATTTACCTAATACACATTTTTAGTTGTACTATACATAATATTACAATTAAAAATAATTACCCTCAAAACTAATGAGTTACGATTGTTCTGAATTGATTTGTTTTGTACATCGCCTTGTGTTTTCTTAATAAACATTTGACTTGCGATTAATCGATGGTTGTTTATTTACGTTGCTAAGGATGTTAAATTTCTTAACATACAGCTATGTATAAGTGCACTTAAAAAACCTGCAGTGTTGCATATTAAAAGGAGTTAAAGACGCATGAGACCATAAAAAAATTTTAACTGACGTCCACTGAAAAGTGCCTGTAGGACGCGATTTAGTTGCGTTAACTCGATATAACAGATAAGTTTTGCGAATGTAATTGAACCAACAGTCTTTGTCTTGGCGCACGTATTGTTGGTTTCTCGCTCGACGGAGCTCATCGACTCCCACTCGTCCTGGCGGGGGCGGGGCGGAGGCGAGGTGGGCGGGGCTGATTGTATTAGCCGCCGGCAGCGCGCAGCCCAGCGGACGTTTTATCGCCCCCACTTCGTCGGAGGCGACAGCGAAATAGAATCAGCACCCCCCTCTCCCCCCGTAGCCCCGAGCAAGGGGCCTCCGCCGAACGCGTTTCCCGGATGCGTCGCGATCGCGTCGCTCTCCACTGGAGAGCCTCCCGGCCCCGTTGCCTCCACCTGGCTTGCGACGCGCAGGGCGCTCCGGAGGGGCCGGCGATCGCATGCGAGTGGCTTAACTGATTGGTGCGTCAACTGCTATGGTCTCCTAAGTGTAGTGATTATGGTGATTTAATTGATTGATTGGTGATTTCAGGCGCTTCAACTTCTAAGATCATTAGTCCCCACTTTTCCTCCCTCCCCTGCTTTCTAATAACTTGTAATATTTACACATTCCTCGCTCGCGGATATAAAACAAAAACCTATTATATACGTTCTGTATAATTATTATGCCTACTAAGATATGTAAATTAATGTCTATTTTCAGTATTTTAGGTTTTCTAATAGTTTTGTGTATTATTAAAACATTTCGTCTTGTTCTTCCTTTCCACGGTTTAACCCAGAAGGTCTTTTCCAGCTTCACTCCATCGTAGGTTTGGTCCACCAGGGTTACTTTTTCCAGCTGGTCGATAATGGTGAGCCTATCATCTCCCTTCCTTTGTAGGGGTTGTGCCCATGGAGTACGTTTCTCCTTTATGGTGCCTGATATGGAGAAATAGTTGACCTTTTCGGGTGTTTTCGTTTCTGATCCGGTCTACGAGGCTGCAGCCTTTTACTGCTTTTAGAGATGTCATTTCGGAAGCTTGTTTATTACTACTTTTCTTTCTCATCATTACCAATGATTGGCGTCCGTTCACCAAAACTGGTACTGCCATCACTTTGTACATTTTTGGTAGTATCTCTGTTGCCTTCTTCGAGAGCGCGGTTCGTTTTCGTGCCACAATCCAATTTTTAAATTAATGAGACAAGGTAATAAAAAAAGCTTTGAATTAAGAAAGTTTTGAAATGCTTAGTAGTACCACCCGTGTTGCCAGACGTACCAGAATCCTGGTATTTTTATCAGGAAATTAATGAAGATAACAAGTACTAGGATGAAGTCATTCTGGTACTACCAGGATATTAGTCTAAGGTAATAGACCATGTACAATTTATGATTCTTATAATAGTATTTTTTATACTGTAATTTAAAACTAACATTAATATTAGAGATAACTATGATATTGGTGAAAACATTGCCGTGATTGTATTTCCTTATCTCATGCTGAAGTAGAAAAGATTAGAAATGAATCGATATCCAGTAAAGTTTAATGAACTTCCTGCGCGTGTTAAAAACATAATAGAGTTAAAATATGAACAATTTCAGAAAATAAATCAACTGTAATTGGTACTAGGAATTTTAGTGAACGTTCCAGAATTTTTGAATATTCGTACTGGTATATATATGTAATAATTTGTCAACGCTGAGTACCATAAGATCATGTTATAGTTTCCCTTGATGTTTTAGCAATGAAAACTAGTCCCTATCCACTTATATTGAAAGTTTGGGATGAATGGTATTATGAATTGTCTAATTTTCCGTTTTCACTTGAAGAAACTTTGTTGGTGATTAAATGCATATTAATAACATTGCGTTCACCTCTGATCATGACATTTACAAACAACTGACGGATTCACCCACAGGTGGTTTATTAAGTTCGTCATGTTTTGATATTGTAATGAGAAAATTGGAACAATTTCATTTTATCAAAGGGAAGTTCTTTCTTTTTTAAAATATATCTTTTCGTTTCAAAAGATCTGTAGATGGCGTCTTAATACATAAGGACACATAAGGATGAAATCGGATACTATCTGATGAGAAATATTATCTGATTATAATTTCCCATGATCCTGCTTTACAATTTGCTATTGAGAGGTCTACAAACAATTCTATCAACTTCCTACATCTTACTTTAACTTTGGAAGGAAATAAATCTTCTACCAATTGGTTTAGGAAAACTCTTTCTTCTAGGAAAACTTTGAATTATCTTTCTGCCCATCCGATTCCACAAAATATTGCTATTGTTTAAGGCTTGGTTTTTAGCACTTTGTGACTTTTCTAATCACACATCTTTATTAAAAGTAATTAAGTAAACTTTTATTGAATATGCTTTATATGATATATGCTTTAGTGTTACCAATAAATTCATAATTAAAAGATTAGTCATAAATCAAAGAAATTAAAGATTTAATAGATACAATTATTTGATTATCTTGAATGATGATAATTAGAAAATAACTAATTATATTTCCATTCCGTATTATATTCCCAAGATTATGAATAAATTTACGAAAGAATGTACTAGGTTAAATGAAGGGAGATTTTGATTAATAAAAAATGATTAATCAGGAATGTTTAAGTTTCGGTTCCTCTTTTAGATAAAGATAACGCCATTTACTCCGTTCGCTGCCTAAACTACATATTATGGAATACACGACAAACCAAAAAGCGCCTTAAACAAGGAACTAAATAACACGAAAGTAACATTAAAGCGTGCCGTAGTAAATTAAATCCGATTTCCCGCCATCGACTGATCACCTTACATAATTTGTGCATCCAAGACCTTGCATTTTAGAAATTGAAGCTAGTAAATACCGTCGATTGATTTCTGATACCTTAAACATTAAGATTCAACAGGCTGTCAAAACGAATGTGGAGTCGAGTATTTTCACCAATGCGTGTGATTGTTTGGTCCAAAATTAAATTACATTCTTAGGAATAATTATATGGATTGTCCTACGTGTTCTGCCTTTTTCATATATTGATTGTTTATTTTTTTCTCTTGTTGATCTTACTTCCTTCGTTACTCCCCCTTTGCTCCTTTTAACCCCTCTCCTCTACGCCATCCTCTTAAATCTCCAAATTAAAATTTGTTGTATTTGATTAATTCCATTGATAAGAAAGACTCATATTCTCCTGTTACTCCCATGCAGTGACGTTTTTCGGTGGGGGGGGGGGAGCAGGTGGGCGGTTCGACCAAGGTGACACCAATTATAAAATTATGTAGTTGGAATTATATTATTTAAATGATTTATGTTGTCTCTTGTGAGAGAAGCTTTTTAAAATTAAAGCTCATAAAATCTTATTTTCGATCTAAAATGACTGAATCAAGACTTTCTGATTTTCATCTATTGTTGATAGAAAATTATATCGTAGTTTTGATGAAATTATAGTTAAGTTTGCTGCTTTTAAGTATCAATTATTTGAATCACGGACACCTTTTAATTTCTCGCTAACGCTTACGCAGTAGAGATAAAATTATGTAATGCTGCGCGAAAAACAAATGGCGAATTTATGGCAAGAAATACTTATTACAGGGCCCTGGTAACGAAAAGGGAGATAAATTCAGGTGCTAAATTTAGAAAAAAATCCTCTAACCTATAGTGTAACCCGAAACCATGTTTTGTGGGTCCTTGATATCGAAAAATTGAATGACGGCAGTCATTCGGTTAGTCCGTCCTTCTGTCCGTCCGACAGTGCTATGAACAATGCTAGCGACGAACCCGTTTAACCGATTTTCTCCAAAATATATATTCCCCAATTTGAAACCGATATTTTAGATTTGGGGAGAACTTTACATGAAGCCCCTGGAACTTTTTCAAAATGTTCAAAAATGGCTCATATTTTATTAAATTTAGTTGTTGAATAGTGTGAATGACCTTCAAGAGAATGGTGCAGATGTACTTTTCGTTAAAATTCATAATTTTTCAAAAATTGCAAATGTTCAAAATTTATTCGAAGTCTCCTACAGCAAAATTATCGAAGATAGACATTTTCCCCACAATAAAATATGTTTCTTAAAGATAAATTTTGAAATAAGGTCAGGTATAATTTTTCGAAAATTAGAGTACTTTTTGCATAATTTTGTTTGAAAATTCGGTAGAGAAAGGACGTGATGGTTTAGCACCACTAGTTTAATATATTATAAATAAATGTCACGTGAAAATATACTTGTATTTTTATTAAATAAATGACAAACAATTAATTATAAAAACCATTAAACAATTAAATATTTTTATATTTAATTTATGAGGTGGGGGGGGGGTTATACCATTAGTTCTGCCCCGAGTGCCAGCAAGTGAAGCTACGCTGCTGCTCCCCTGCGAACCCCCACCGCCCACTGCCCACTGCCCCAGTGCGGCGGCCGTCTGCCGCCGATAAGCCCCTTTATCTCCGACTTTGACCTGCGCCCCCCTCCCCCCGCCTGTTCACATGCGCCTCGGACAAGCGCCATTTAAACGCGCTCGGCCAATGGCGGACATTGATTTTTTACGTCTGGTGTCAAAGGTCACGTTTCCACACATGTCGGCTTAGCACTTCGTATTGCTCCTCTGAGAAGAATTGAACTCGAGTAAATCCATGATGACGATGGGATACGAAAGGTGTTTTCAATATCTGCGTAAAAAAATTAAAATATGAAAATATTCTTGTAGAGAATGTGACAATTTAATATTAAATGTTCCTGAATTACTTGTAAATTGAAATAACGGACAGTTCAAAGAATATGAATTATTAAGAAAAGTTGGTCATGAAATATAAAGAAATTTGTTACTTGATTATAAGTCAAAATCAAATATCATTGAGAATAGGTTCATTTAAGAAACACATTTTTCATCCATTTAAAATATTATTTTGAGCTGAAAATTTATATGAAATATTAATGTCATTGGACAGCTTCTTGCTCCTTGTGTGTTCTCTATTTAATCATGCCTTAGTGAAAGCTTCTGTTGGCATATCAAACCCGAAACACATAATTAATAACTTTTAGCAGCAGATGCCATGTGCTAATAGCAACCGTCCTGCTGGCGAGTAGTGCTAGTTCCTTACTAACTTGAAGGTCGATTTATCACGTCACTCCGTGAAGCTTTCGAGTTCCGATTTTAACTCTCCCACCTCATTGTAAACGCATACAATAAATCTTCGTGATTTGATTCTCGTCCGCCCAACACACCTGACTTCAAGTTTAATTTCTACTCTGCATATTTTTCATCTTTCACCCTTGAATTTTTTTTGCTTTGTTCTACGTTTTTTGGTCAGCCCTTCTTATGTTATGTGCACCAGGCGACAACGAATTAATAATGAATGGGCCGATAAAAAGAAGCATCCAGCCGGGAGAGATGGCTCGCAGCATGATGGCACTGCACTAACCGGGAGGTCCTAGGTTCGAGTCCGGACTGTGACTGTATTTTCGACACTAGCTGCACAGCTAGGTCGAATTCAGTCGCTGTCTGGAGAAGAATTCTAGCGGTCAGCTGCACTGATGTTAGTTTTCCGTGGTTTCTCCTATCAACATCAGATGAATGTAGGAGGCCATAACAATTGGGCCCCAGAAAGCGCGCGATCTTTCCTTCCTCTTCCTTGTTTAATTCTCTCCCCTTACTTAAACACACTTACACTAACATGCAGTACACCACCGCACATCCAGGCGACCGGCCGGGAGATTACAGCTTGTCTTCTATTCAGCGGGGGAAGACCCCTGCCATCCCGCGAGGGTAAAACATTCACTACACTTCCGGGACTAATGACTTTAGCCGTTGTCGCGCCCGGAATCACTAATGTAGATTGCGCCTGCCCCCCACCGCCACAGCTGCGCTCACTGTCACGCTGTTTTTAACAAACCTCCAGTTATTGACAAACTACCCATGCCTAATCTTCCCACGCGGATCTGTTAATGCATGTGGGTGTTTGTCACATACCCCCTATCCAAATCAAGCATTCATTGCCTCTCAGGAAGTAAAAATGTGCAGTAGCAGTGCCTGTTGAATATTGCATTACTTGTATTATCTCAATCTGAAAGCCTGGAATTAATGATCAGAATAATACATTCATTAGTTTCTTTGTACTTCCTCTTACATTAAATTTGTAAAGTATCAGTTTTGAAGGTTAGTTTTAAAGAAATTATGAAGGATATTATTCACACTGCTGACATTTCCTCTTGTTATTGAACATTGTTTACTCTCTAGATACTTGAGGAACCAGGCAGTTAACTACTGATAGAGTACATTCGTACACATCGAAGTATAGGTGGGGAGGGCGGTTCGTGAAAAGTCGAACTTGAATTATTTATTGATTAAAGATATACTCTTCTGACTAGCGTGTTTAATTTTGATATTACAAAACGCGCGACGAATCGGCAATACTTAATTAACGTTAAGTGCTTTTAAATTGAACAATTATTTATTGCTCGCCCCCCCCGTCGGCAGTGCTGTGAATCCGACGCCTGCTCTCCAGCTGATGAAGCGACAAATGACTCCCGCCGACAGTCGACTGTCGCTGGGAAGAGGGGGGGGTGCTGCGATCGATAGTGGCGCCGCACATCGGCCGAAATCTCGGCTCCGCTGCGGGGAGGGCGGGCGATGAGGAACGTGCCTCGCCACCGCCGACTCGCCGTCCCCCCTCCCACAACTCCACCCCTTCTCGCGCGGAAAGCGCCTTACAGACAGCAGTTCCCGGCGCGCGACCTCTGCGCGAGGGGCATTTGCGATGGAGATAGCAGACGTTCAGAAGTTTAGACACTGAAAACCACGGTGGTTTCTTTTGGTTTAAATTCTAAGAGTAGACTTGTATTATTGGTTGATTGGTAATTGCGGGCGCGTCGACGGCTAAGGTCATTACTCCCGTAAGTGTAGTACATGCTTTATCGCGGGAGGTGGCGGGGATCTTCCACAGGTGGCGGGGATCTTCGCTGGAGGTGGCAATATCCGGCATCGACTTACCCGTCGAATTTTGGGATTTTCACCCATCAGACTTCTTCCAACAGTGGGGCACCGCCCCCGCCTGGACAAGCTCAGAACTCCCAATATGTGTGATAGTGTAGTACATGTATGTGTGCATAGGTAAAGGGTGAGGATCGGACAAAGAAGAAGAAGAAGGAATGATTGCGCGCGGTCTATGGTCGTTTGTGAGGGTTCTGCTCCGGCATTTACATGGAGTTGATCGAAGAAAAAACGGAAAACTCCCGATCAGAGCAGCCGTCGCTAGAATCGCCCTCCAGATAGCAGCTGAATTCGATGTAGCGGTATAGATTGTGTCAAAATCCTGCCGCCATCGCGATTCGAAAACTAGAACTTAGTCAGAGGGTCTGCACTGACATCAAATGATGCCTTGAGCCACTCACGCCGGTGACAAGTATACGTTACTAGCTGATAAGGCAGCGTTGCCCGGGAATTTTATTTATCTGAATCATCTATTAAGTTGCCTCGTCCGACCCCCAGGTTCTTCCGGTCATCCCCGCACCTCGCAGGCGTGCCGCCTTCTGCTCTCTTGCATCTGTTTCATCCGCTCATTCGCTTTGAACGTTCTTTCCGCTACGCCCATTCCTTCTCCCTCCCCCCTCTTCCTCCTCCTTGCGGTCCCACCTCACTACGACAGACAGGAGGAGCGAGAGAGATGGAGCGATGGAGAGAGAAAGAGAGAGAGATGGAGAGAGAAAGAGACAGAGAGAGGCGGGGAGGAGAAACACTTGTTAAGCATCGGTGGCCATGTCTTTGGAGGAGCTTCTTCTTCCCCAAGGAGGGCACCACTCCGCCTCTGTCCCTGGCGGGCCTTCCTTCTTTTTCTTTTGCTTTTCCTCTCGCGCGCGCGCAGCATTAAATCGGCGCGGGGGCGGCCACTCGCGATAAAACGCCCTCCGCCCCTCCCCCTCCCTTCGCTCTGTTCCATTTTAACGCCGCCCCCTCCCCACCCGACCACCCACCCACACGTCGCGACGCACAGCGGCCGCCTGGCCCTGCGCGAACTGCTGTTGCGAAATACGACCGACTCCGATGGAGAGAAGGTAATGAATCTTCTTCCGCTTTCTCTCCTGCCTCTTCCCCACCTCCTGAGACCCCCCAGTGCAACGTCTGTTGCCGCTCCAGGGACTCTGATCCGGAGGTCCGTGAGTTCGATTCCTGATGGCGGAAGATTTTGTGACACTACCTAGAGAGATGGGGAGAATTCAGTCGTCTTGAGGAAGTCTAGCGACTTTAACAAATGGGCTACGGACTGCGTGCTATCAGTCCTTGCCCATTCTTATTCCCATCCAGTTCACACACATCGAACGATTAGAACTTCTCCAGAGTCTCGATAGAGGCGGTGCCTGGCGGGGGATACATGGAGGGTAGGAACTCTCCTAAGCCGACGTTTAGGTCGATGCCGGATTTCGAGTTCTATCGCCTCCTCCCGAGGTATGACATGCCCAGCACGTACGGAACTAATATCTAATCTACGGAACTACTATCAGTAGAATATCGGCTTTTACAATTTCTTCAAATATTCCTATACCTCAAAATAAGGAAGGCAATTAGACAGTCGACCCCCTCCCCGCAAACGATGAGAATGGAGAAGAAAATAGCGCGAAATATAAAACTTTCTGATTCAGCATTCATCTGGAATTGAGAGGAGGAATCCATGGAAACGACCAATGGCAGCAGCTGCTTCCTGGCGGATAACTCGTGCCCGAGCAGTGGCAATGTCCTTTCAGTCACTCAACAGACCCCAACGTTGTACCTCCCTTCTTGCAATGTTTCTCTCGGGGACCAGGTAATGCATTGAGAAAAATAAATCAAAAGCGAGAGGGAGAACTAAAAGAATATCTTATGAGTATGAAAAAAGTGAATGAAAACCTGCGAGAACAAAAATAGGTAGAAATCGAAGAGTTACAGAAAATTGATAAAAAGGGATTTACTTCTTCATTTCGTGGATGCGGTTCTCCTCAGGAACGTAGGGTGGGTACTCGCGTTTTAAAGTCCATTGAGAGAGACAGTGTGATATTTTGAGTTCGGAGCCAGCCGTAATTTTATATTTACACAATATTACCTAATGTAACATATCCTTACTGCATTCCTCACTTCAAAACTCATTTCTGAGGTGAGGGGAAGAGCTTCCGGAATCAAAACAACTCGAGATTAGAAATTACTTATCGCGAACTCAAAACGTCTTACACTAGAATCATTACCTTCCTTAGCTGCACCCTCACGTTAGCATTAATATTAATGAATACTAACACTACATGGATGAAGTCCGAGATAATTTGTTACTCGCCCTTCGATACTGCTTTATCCAAACGTGCAGTTAATGTGTGAATTAACCAGCTACTTCGAAAATTAGCCATTTTTCGCAATTCAGCCTTAACGTACACGCACACACGTGAAAATCTCCTTGACCACTCTTCAGTGCTTTTGTGTGTATGTTTACAGCCAATACGGTTGGAAGGTTAGAGTTCAACAACCCCCCCCCCGCTTTTCATAGCGTTCGCAGCTATGCGTCGCCCGCCGGCCGAGGTGCGTGGCGGGACGGAGGGAGAGAGCGAACGGTCAACGGTGCGTGAGGGGTTCCGTTGCGTGAAAGCGCGGAGTGTCCGTGCGGTCAAGGCTTCAGCCCGCCCGCTGCCGGCCTTCAGCCCCCCTCCCCCC